TATATATATATATATATATATATATAATTCATATAAAAACTGCTACGAATTGAGGAAAAATTATAAAAAAATGGACGAAAAAAATATGTTATTCACAGTGTAATGAAATTCCAAGAAATGATTCGTTTTCAGAGCTGTGAGTTGTATACGTTGGAGGTCGTTTTCGAGTTGAGTTGAATTTGCAGAATGCATCGCTCAATTCTGCTTCACTGATTCGTTCATGCATTTTTGCCATTCTGAAAATCATCTCCAAATTTCACGTTTTTTTCCAATTAATAACGCACCAGACCGAATGATTTTGCAATTTTCCTATCACTTGACGTGTAAATGACATGTTTTTTCATGCAAATGAATGGAAAAGAACACAGATAACAAAAACAGTCAACTTAGATCAGACTAAACTGCGCTGCGCTAAATTTAATTGGCACGCACGCTCGTTAATGATGTACCAATGTAAACAATATCTCATAAATAGCTTCAAGTATTCCCGAAACAAACTTTAGAGGCATGGGCGTTGACAACTGCATTTGTCCACAGATTAAAGTTTGAGTCTGAATATTTTCAAAGCTTTCAAAGCACAATTTTGTTTTGTACCGAATGTACGGATCCTATTGACGATGCCAAAATTTTTCAAATTCATAAATTTCAGCTCTAGTACAATAATATACTTGTAATTCAGCAAAAGTCGAAATAAATGAAGAATCTTTACTTTCATAACTCAATTATTACTAACATATTTACACAAACAAATAAAAGTCACTTGTTTGCTATTACGGACAAAAAAAGTCCACGGCATCCATAAGCTGCGTACAACGCAATCAGAAAATATTAATTTATGTATATACGCGTCGTTGGACTGTTTTAAACTGCTGCCATTTTGATGAGAATTCACTTTGAGACATGAATATTATGCATAATATTGTAGTACTGAATTAAAACAATATCAATTGGGCATTCATCAAGTGCTGTCACACCAGGAAAAACGAAATAAATGGAAAGCAATTCATGCCATCTTTCTATAATACCCCAAACCTTTATATTAACTATATACACCTTTATCTAAAATTTTTGCGTCATAATACCTGTTTACCAAATAAATTATAAAGCCTGAAGTTGTAATAGTTGCGCATCTTGGGCAATGATTAGTACAAATAAATTTTCATTAAAAAAAACATGAATGATTCACAAATCCTCAAATTATGCCGCAACGAAATAAATAGAGCAACAGAATGAGAGATTACAGTTATAGAAATACAAACACTGATTTAAGTGAATGAGAACTCTAGACACTAATTATGACAGTAAGAAAACTAGCATAGAGATAATGTTAGGTCCAACTTGACATTGAACTGGAATGAGAGCTTGAACATTTTTATAGAAATAGGTTGTGCAAAGATGAAATACATGTTGAAAACGTTCAAACACAACCCCATAAGGCGCCAAATATAAACACATTATATCTTAAGAAAGTGAAAAAATTAAAAAAAATACATTAACAGAACTAAAGATTGCTAATTTGCAGTCAATAAAGTGAGTATCGTGATGATGTCATTACAGCAATAATTTTGAAGATAACCCTTCATTTGTAGTTAAAAAATCCGAATTGACACTGGTAAAGCAGAAAATGGTATGAGTGGAGTCGATGAGCTCAGAGCAGTAGCCGTCGAGAAGCACTCTAAAGCTTCTTCAAAACGTCCATCGTTTGAAAGAATCATGCCAAGCGCCTGCCACGAATCACAGTGTAACGGGTCAATTTGTATAACATCTCTAAAAAAATTATAAGACTTCCAAACCATCATAAATGATGACACAAACAGGAAATAAAACCTTGTTCTAAGATAAAATCCTACTCCATATATGATCGTAAAATAGGCTTTGCCAGTGCACATATTATGAAACATGTATTTACATTCCTTACTCTTTCAATTCCATTCCAACACTTTTCAGTGTTTTTCATTTGAGGTTATTAATTTGTAATTAACCTCAACATTTTTTCTGCCATTGGAATATTTCCTTCTAGTCTGTAAATATGTGCTAGATGTCGCAAAGATGACACATGTGAAGGTGCTATAGCAAGTGCTCCTAACAATGAAGCTTTAGCATCAGTTCTAAGACGTTCACATCTTGAAACATCATTACATTTCATCGCGCGAGCTGCTAATAGTCGACCCTGTAGAAAGAATTGAACGATGAATTTTTGGCACAGACTTGAAATAATGAAGACTGACCTAAAATAACAGAAAAATTTTGAAAGCAAACGATAAGTTAAAATACTTTACGAATTAAACTGGAATAATGTGAGACATATGTGCTTTTACAACAAATCATGATCACAGACTTTAATATACAGTGACTGATGAGAACTAGGACACAAAGCAGATGCCTCCTCAATGCATGATCGTACATCTTCCATTCGATCAAGATCAAGAAAAAGTTCCGCAAGTTCCAACCAAATATTTGCCTAGAATATATAAAGTTGGACCCTAAAAGTAAAAAATACTACAGCAGTAATCAATATTATTAAAAAATAAAACTTATTTTCCATGTTTGATCACATAATTAAGAAAAAGAATAACTTCAATGAACCATTTTGATGGATCAATTCAGAAAATCAGTGAAAAATACGTCACCTGCATCATAAAACGTGCTTCTATATTTCTAGATTGCATGGAAGATAATGAAATAGTAGAAGTACCATTCCCGTAATCAGATATTCTCTGAGCTGTATATACAGATCCTCCATCTGAAAATATCTAGTGGAGATTTCAGTACCCATCATATTGAGGTCATATATTTATTTTTGCAGACAACAAAAATAATGTGAACCGAGGTAGCCTAATGATATATTTCACTGAAGAAAAATCTATTCTCACGGTTTTCCTACAAGTAAGTTTCGAATACTACTGATCTAGCTTGCAAAAAATTACCAGTCATATCACTTCCAGTGCCTGAAGTTTTGTTTGCAGTCATATTTGCCAGCGTAGCAGAAGACAAAATACCTAAAGAAGTAGCAGCAGTAAACGATGCTGCAGTCACAGCATCACGACTACTTACTGAACGCAATAAACTGCTTCCTTGAGCATCTTTTTGACTTTCATCACTAGCTGCAGTGCACATATACTTAAATGAATTATCTACAGAAATTCTAAAGAAGATTCAAGCTCATAAAATTATAGTTCACAAACTTTAAGGTAAAAAGATATAGTTTGCATAATTACAGGGTCATAAGAACTTAATGTTCAGAAAGTAAAATTCCTTGAAATATAACACATTCGCTTTACAAATGCTTTAATGTAAATTCTTAAAAAGCGTATAATGAAGTCTTTAAACTTTCTTATTTCCTCTCGTACATAAAAAACAATATTTAGAAAAAAACAATTTCCCCTATATATAGATTATGAAAAAATTTTATTTGAATTTAATATTAGTTTCACCAATATGTGCACATGATTCTTCAAACGAATTTGCGTCTCCTTTTTTCCAGAAATATAACAGATGTTGTGATGATGATAGAGCCTCATCAACACGTCCTTCAAATTCAGTTAGATCATTGCCAATATAAATTTATTGCAATGAGCAGCTTACAAATATAAAATTTTTTATGGGTCTTTATTTACAATGCAGTTGAATATTAACTACATGGTTCATTAATATTTATAATATTTATATAGGTGATAAAAGCAGAAATTATAGCTTGATAGTACTTTTGTAATAAATTTCGTAAACCATACCAAATTTTACTTCGAGCATTAATTTTAGAACGATTAAAGGATAATTTGTGGGAAAATCTTCTAAAGCATCTACAGTTAATTCTAGTGCCGCTTTGTAGTCTTTCTGAGCAGTAAAAATCAAGGCAAGAAGCATTATTGCAGCAGGCATTTCTGGATTTAATTCCAATGTCCTTTCGCACCAATCTCGAGCTGCTCGCAAATCACGAGCTAAAATGCATCTTAAGTGTTTTTCTCGTAAGCATTTATTGTTCTTCCTTATCCAGAAAAAAAAGCTTGTCCTAGTGATAAAATAGCATTGTAGACCTAATAATTTCCACGAAAAAATGAAACTACGGATATGCTTCTGAGTCTCTCTACTACGAAATTTTCTATTCGAGATAGACACGATACCCATTACAAATTTTTAACAAAAATTTTCACCTATAGCATGCTGTCTTGCACAATAATAGTGGGCTAAGTCGTCAAGAGAGTCCACTGCTGTAGCCTGCTCAAAAAGATTTATTACTTCTAATTGCATTTTACATCGTTCCTCATATCGAACTAATGTTTCTGCCTTCATACTGTAAACCAGAAATAAGTGAATGTTTACAAAGCAAAGTTCTGAAATGAGGAATTAAGAAACATCAATTTAATAGAAATTCCGGTTTGGTTTGGTTCGAAAGATTATTTTTAAACTTTCATCAATAAACGGACTTTTATTTAGCAAAAATTAGAACCTTTACTTTTCATCTTTCTCTTATTCTATCCGTAACGATTGTGTTAATATTTAATTAAATTGTACATTCAAAAATAAATCATCACTTACCTCATTGCAATACCTTTCAAAAGCAAACAACGTCCAGAAAGCCAATTTCCTTCGCAAAGCTCGATAGCTTTGTCAGAATGTTTTATCGCTGAAATTTATATTTCTGTTTTTAAGAATCGAAGTTCGAAACTTTCATAAATGAAGCAGAAGGGAAGCAGTAATTAAATGAAACGAAATCCTCACATTTATAAATTTTACGTCGTTTCTGTGGAACAAAGTTAATATCAACTATTCAGACAACCAAACATGCGCTTTTTATTAAATGCGCTCAAGCTCAGTATAAAAAGCCTGAGATAATTTCATGATAATAATTTATAATAATTTAACCTTCATCATATTGACAGAAATGTTCGATAGCAATTTCAGCTGCAAAAAGATGCTGTGCAAGAGTATTGTCATCGCACTGCTCAAAAGCTAGGCATTGCGATAAAATTTTTGATGCCCTTACATATCTTCCATGACAGATTAATGCCAAAGCAAACTGAAACCTGAAAAATAAACTTTTTAACAGTCTTGAAAATACCTTGGAAGAAAAATTACCGAATAAACAATTTAACAACTCACCACAGATATCTGTCTTCATTCGCAAATTTCATGGCTTTTTCATAAATGCTAGCCAAAAGTTCATACTGCCTTAGAGCAGAAAGTACCTGAACACATTTAATTTACTTTAAGGTTTCAAATAAATCTATATCAGTACCCTAAACGAATTCAAATAATAGAATATTAAGAATAAAAACCCTAGCATTTTTACTTGATTTCAACGGAAAACACTATGTATGCATATGAGGTTAACAAATAAAATAAATCAGTGGGAATGAATTTCTAAATCTGTAATTTTACTGTCTCAATTCAAACTATAACATATTTTTAACACAAGTATTTGTTTGTTTAGTTTTCTTTAAATTCTAAATTTTAAGAGCTTGAAAATTTGAAGCACAAAAATTATGACGATGGTTTAAATTTGTATGGTTTTCTCGGAATAATATTTTAAAAAAAATGAAAATTTGAAATATTACCAATGTCAGCAAATTATATACTGATTTTGCGACACGCAAAGATTTTTTACGATTGGGTGCCAATTCTTCAGCTCTGTTCAGCACAACATCTTTTGTAGCTAGAACCTGAATTTATCGAATTTTCAAAACAATGATACACTTTTTTGGTTTCGACAAGATACAATTTTCTTACTTCACTAATTAATAACAGCAGTAAAATTTCTTCAATCCTTGAAGAAGGAGAGAAATAACTTCTGTTCGATCCAGTATAAAATCTAAAAAAAACAACTATGGTTATTTTAAAGCTATTAAACGCAACTGTACAGTGCTTATGTATTATAATTTTCGTTTGTTTTAATAATAAGTGAATGCTATGGACAAGCACTTCAAAGATTAACTATATTATTTCAATGGAAGTTATTTCGAACGCAAATTCGCTTCAAAAAAAGATAGCTGGATTAATTTTATTAATGTTTTGACACCTCAAATACTGTGATTTTGTGTTGACAGATTGCGATTCCACATAACCAGAATCTGGCACTCCTCTGATTAATACTTCAGCTAATTGCCGACTCAATCTAAAAATTTGTAATATCCTTAGAAAGTAGATCATTCAAAAACTAAAAAGTAACTCCTGAGTCCTAACCTTTGTTGCAATTTCTCACCGACCATTTTGTCACCTAAAGATGTCATAATTCGACGATACCATTCAATGCCTTCATTGTCCCACGGTCGATCAACTATGTTATGCCTCAACCTCAGCAAGGGCACTTTTTCAAGAGTTGTCTCTAGGAGATCTCCTGAACATGAAGATAATCAATAATAAAATCCTAAATAGCTATGTTAGTAATTGAGTAGCTAATAACTATTCTGTAACAAGTGTTTTTTCAAATAAAGAGACATAAACATCAAAGCATGATTAAAGATACAAGGATACATACCCATTTTTTCAGCATGCTGTTTGCCATTCGCACCAGTAGCGTTTGAAGAAAGGACACCACTCCCTTAAATTATATAAATTTAGAAATAATTAGTTGTGAATGTTAATTTTAATAAATAACAAGCAAGAATCTATTTTTCCGCATTAAAAAAACGCCAACTGCTTGATAAGTTTATTGATTTTTCCAATTCCTGAACATATGATATTGCCAGCTCCGCAGATTTTTCGAAGCAAAATAATGTCCTCATACGACATTTCTCCAAGTCTGTCTTTTTCATTTGATTCATAGTTGCTTCCATACAGAAACCTCAAGAATACTTGAGTACTTGTCGGGAAAATATTTTCGACAATGAAATAAATGGAAAAGAAGAAACCCGTTTTCTATACCTTAAATTTCAGAAAGCTGTCTTCAAAACTTCTTTTTTATCACAAAATAGACTCTAAAGAGAATAAAAACAAATATTGAAAAATATAGATATTCTGAGAAATCATGCACATAACAAGCACTTTTACAAAAAAAATTTTTTACAACAGTCTTTGCGATCCATATTCTTGATTCACAAAGAATGTATTCGGATATTTAACCTTTTATTGCATAAGCTTCAGCAACTAAGCGCAAATCTCGCAAAGATTCAAATGGCGTATCACCAAATTCCAAACGTGAATTCTCAATATCGTGCATTGCTTGCTCATATTCTGCGCTAAAAAATTCATACACACTGTGCATAAGTAATTAAGTGAGAAAAGAACTTGAAAAATTAACAAACTATTGAACTTACAATGTTTCAAAGTTACAACATTGAGTTAAGAAGTTTTGAATACATAATCCGATAAAATTTAAAAAACACAAAGTACCGCCATTACCAAAAGATATGCACATGGGCCAAAAGCAATGTTAAATACCAATAATAATGTAATTTCGAAAGCAGCAAGTTTGTTTCCAAATACACTGTCGACTTTTCAGCAATTGAAGACTGCAGTGTGTTATTGAGAAGTTTCGCAGCTTTTTCAAGACTACTTTTGTTGTCAGTTTTCGGTTCCAACACATCTAAAGAATCATATCTTCGCCAACACTCGCGTGACTTACATTACTTTCACATGCTTGAAAAGCCAAAAGTCTTTTCAGTTCTTACAAACTTTGCATAAACAATCTGTCCTCCTAGAATATTTACAGTGTCACCTGAGTTTAATTCTACAAACGATTCAATGATATATTCTGCTTGTAATAAATCTCCATACTGCTCCATGCCGCTATTTTTGGAACGGACAGAAAGCAATAAATCTCCTAGTCTTCTCCAATTACATTCCGAACGGCATTTATCTACTTCCGTTTCAAGTTTGCTTCCTTTTAATTTCGAACTCATCAATAATCCTATGACTGCAATTAATAATATTAGTGTGTAAATGAACGTATTGAAGGCTCCTTGCAAGAATACTAAACACATTCAATCTTTCAAATGCCTTACCACCAACAAACGAATTAGCTCTGCACTGAATTAAATTTCGCTCATATTGCTTGGTACACTACTGTTATTATTTTGAGGTCCAAATTTTCAATTTTCCGTTTAAGGATTTCTGTATGCATGCACTGCAAGATTTAAAGCGCTGATTTACAGGCCCAGATATACGTTACTGGCTTCTGGATGCTTTTTGTCACCTGACTATTCTACTTTTTAATGACGTCATTCGAATAGAAAAACGAAAAATTGGCTCTAGAACATGGAGGCCATAATAAATGTGAAGAAATTTGCCTTCAGTTCTGGCCTCAATCCAGATGCATGCATTCTTTCAAGGAATGAACGAAACGTAGTAGCATTTTCCAATGCATATCATTGCAGCGTTACTCACTGACTTGCTTACTTACTGTATGCTAAAGCTATGGAATGAAATGACTGCAAAGATACTGGCAATTCATAATTACCGTATATATCCGTGAGGGGTTTTCCGGATTAACAGAACAACTCGCAATATCTCAGTTTTATCTTTTGCGACGCATTCATTTATTTGTGTTAGAGCGAGTGAAAGCACCCAAAATGTTTGTCTGCCTTTCTGCTTCTTCCTCTCTCTTAGCATACATTTGGATAATTAGTTACTTTCTCAATTCCTAACGGACATCTAGCTGATGCTAGATTTCGGCCATCTCTCTTAGCAAATGTGAAACGTGAGATTGGACTGATCGCAGATTCCACATTAATTACTTGAAGCAGTGCGCTTGTTTATCCACTCTTGCCGCAAGTAGCGTTTATTTTCGTGAATTAATCGCTCTCATAAACTTAGCATTTGACTTACTTTTTAGCAGAATAAATATTTGCTAGTAGTCTTATGCTTATCACTCCGACATTAGTACTTTCTGCACGTATTAGAATATTCTTGCACAAAGTAGCATAAATGAGTAATTGCAGGAGTTAATAATGTTTTTGTATTCAAATTACTTCCGTGTAAAGTATGAAAATATTTTGATAAATAATGTGCATTCTTGAGAAAGCTTTCGCAAATAGGAAATTATAAATGAGAAAATGAATGGTTGCATTGACCTGATAACCCAATTCTTGCGTGGAAAACAAATGCATGCAAGTGATGGCTTGCAATTTTGCGCACTTCTCATCCACTTCTCGTTAATTTTAATAATAAATAGCAATTTATATGTGCATACAGTATGAATAGAAAAGTACTATCACATGCGTTCGTTTTTTCTTCTGATTAAATTAATGAGATAGAATTTTCATTAAAAAGTAAGTCAATTTGGAAAGGAAAGCAAGCTTAATTAACCTGCGATTTTTTGCTGTGCACAATTAGGATGCCAAGTGATTGACTTTGCTTTAGACTGAATCCTTTTGGGTGCATTCATGATAAAAGGAATTCCTGAAATCAATCAAATGCAAATATTTTTCAGAAGGCCAGACTTGTTTGCAGTGAACAGCTGTAAGTGGGGATATCCACTTTGCATTTTATATTTTCTATTAGCTCTAATTGAAGACTTTTTATTTAAGTATAAGAGTACTGCTATGCATAGAATTTGCTTACTTTACAAGGGCAAAAATTAACAATTTATAAAGGAGCATGCGCTACTTTACACGCACTCAGTTGCTTATTTGTTGCTGTCAGTGATAAATAAGCCGTGGCTCCTTCTTATCACATCACTGATAACAAAGTAATGATTACTCGCACAGACGCCACAGAATATCATTAATAGAAATAAATTAGCTATATGAAGACTAATTAATAATTTTGGGATAAATGCAGAAGCAATTATGAATTTGTAATCATATCATATTTTCGTTCAGTTTCACACCCAAAATTATTTTCTTTCCAAATATAGCACCTCACAATTTATATTTGACGCCTATTATGATAATAATTATTTCGTTCAGTAGTAAAATAACAATGTTAGCACTTGTTACTAATTATCATAATTGTTAGAGCAAAGAAGTTAGCAGAAATGAGAAAGAGCACATTTTCAGTGGTACAAACAAATATTTGTTTATTCTCAAATAAGCAAGATAAAAAGTGAATGTGCTGACGACGAACAATGCATATTCAAATGATTCGAAATGAGTGAGTATGCAAATTCAGTACCGAAATGCTTTTCATTGTGCAATGACAGAAGCAGTGCTAGCATTTGTTTTCTGCTCTTCCTTCCATTCTTTGAAATACTGCTCAAAAATTTAGCAACAAAATTTGAATAAATCGCTTATTTTGTGAAAATAATTGTCTAAAAGGCATTCATTATTTGATATTCTTTCTGTTCTTTCTTTTTTGCCATATTTAGCAGTGCTCGCAGCGCAATCTTTTTGCTACTTTTTCTTCTCCTTTTCTATCTATTGCTGAATTCTTTTTTACATTAGTACTATATTTTTATCATAATTGTACTGTATATTCTTATTTTAATTTTGTAAAAATAAATAAACACATGATTATAATTTGCATAAAACTCACTTAAATGATACTATAATGACTTTCTGTTAACACTATTTCAGTCTCAGCCTTAGTACTGAAATATTTGCATACTAACATTTATTTCTACCTAAAAGTGCTAAAAATAAAAGTTATGCATAATTCTGGACTTTTTAGCTTAAAATTAATACGTTCTGTATTTTATTCACTTTTCATTTAAGAAAAAAAATGAAAGGTATGAAGGATTTATTACCAATTGCGTCGTGATAGAATGTTACAAAGCAGTATGTATGAACGAACGAACAATTTGTGAACAAAACTTGACAATAGCAACACTTTCATTGCAATAAAATCAAAACTTTTGCAATCAGTACAGTTCATACTTTAATTTTGTACTAAAAAACACTGTAGTTACTGTATTTTGCATAAATTTCAATAATTCGATCATAATTTTATCCAACAATTATTTTGTATTGCATGGGTAAGAAATGAATCTTATTGTAGTGATTCAAATAAAAGCAGTAAAAAGGCAAAGTTTTATACTTCACTGACTAAAGGATTTGTACATCGAGAGTGCACTTCAGTACGTAACTGCATGAAGAAGGAAGTTAGTAAGGAAGCGAGAGGCAGAGCAGTCCCATCCCATAAATACTCACACTTTCAGTCAACAACCATACCTTTAGTTTAGTTTAGTGAGAATATTAAAAATCCATGTAAGTATCTCGAACTTCCATGTTCTTACTTCATAAACTACAAATTCCCCTTTTTACTCACTTCTTCGTGTTTGTTCTTCTCACAGCAAAACGACAAATGTAAGAGTACAGTAAATATTTTTAAACAGTAACATAACAGTTGATTAGAAATCACAACATTCAGCCAAAAGGAATAGTAAGAGGAAATAGTGATGCAACCACTAACTGACTACATAAAAGAGCATTTAAATATGTATATATATCTGTTGCAGGCGTAAAAATCGACAACAAGAATTTTAGATGAGATGAGATGAGATGAGATGAGATGAGCTTTAAGACGATGTCTCGCGTGACTTAACTACTTCACTACAAAACTACTTTCTTTATATTTTAGTGTGAAATTCACACTTGCAAAAGTCAATTTCAAGATGACTGCACCTAAAATAGTGCGCATTGTTTGATAACTCATTTTCACTTTCGTATTATTTTGATGTTCGCAATACAGGACTAGGTCGATTTTAGAAAAACTAGAAGGTAAAAAGATAAATGCATAAATGCATGAATGGATAGATGAGTAGATAGATGGATGGATAGATGGATGGATGGATGGATGGATGGATGGATTAAGATAAGTTTGAGCTTCTTTTCTTTAACATTCGACTTGCTAACCAATTCATGAAGTTAACATCCACAAATAATTTCCATGTCTGCTTCAACTAAAAACACGAACGACCAGCAATGATACCAACTTGAATTAATTGTCTTTAATGTTTTATTACTCGTTTACCTCATAAATGAATTATGCGACATGTTTTGCAAGCAACTTCATCTTTTGCTTCTTTTAAACTAATTAATGATGAAAATGTAAATGAGGTATATCAGATGTTAAAACTATCCCCCTCCTTCCTCTCACAAACTGCTCACTTACTGACAACAACGGCAGATACTTGGCTTCATTATTGTAAAACTCATCTGTTATAAAAAAATTCACCAGTCTGAACTGTTTTCGTGTGCTCTTTACTGGGGAATTAGTCGATACAAAACCCTTTGCGTTTGACATGTTTCCTATAAAATTCAGTTCCTAAGAACTCATTTATATTAACGTGAATCGTTTGAATATGCAACACAAGTTTTCATCTACTTCATTACCAATTAATATATACAACTATATCTTTCTGAATTATTTTTTCTGTTATTCTAGAATTTCTCTATTTGCAGTAATTAACATTTATCACCTCTGAATAAATGACTTAAATGAAGTCAAGTTCATGAATTACTTAACTTCGGAAGAAAAACAGTGCCATCCAAAACTACCTATTGTTCAAGTCTCACAAATATGTATCCCTATTATTGAACACATATGACAAACTTTTCCCCATGTTATCATGAAAAACATTTTTAGCTACTAGCAGTTTTGTTTTTCCAAAGAATTTTTGTTAATACCAAGAATATTAGCGCTTGAAACTTGCAAGAATCTTCATATCAAAATCCCGCCGGCCAAAAGTAACAAAAAAAATTGCAACACAAACAAAAACACCCATTACCCATTCGGGACGAACACATTTGCAACCCTGCCAGCATCAATAGTTACTTTCTGGAATTAACAACTCTTCTACTTAAATGTCACTAGCTAATCCAAATTCCGATTGACATGATTTTGCTCCTGAACGTCAGCACTACATTATTTTTCCATTCATATAAATTAACGTGAATAAACACAAAGATAATAACAATGATAACATGTAGTCCGATATCAAATACTCCTGTTCTTTTCCCTTTGATACTCATCTCTACTACCAAAAGAAATATTTCCTTGTAATTCGAAAATACCATCCTAAAATTTTCACCTCCGATTTTGTGCTCATTCCAATCGAGAATCAATCAAAAGAGGCAAGGAATTCAATCCGCTGCTGTAAAATAATTTATATGAATAATTCGTTACCTGAAAGACTTGATAAAACATACAGCAGAGCACCAAAGTTAACATTCGTAGGTTGCAGACATTATCTCAAATTAGGGCATACACGTTTGCACAACAATTTGAATGAAATAAGAGAAACTGAGCAATGCTAGAAACGAAGATTAAAACATATCAAGTACAAAAAAAATAAACTTGTATTAGATCTGAATTTCCACCTATTACGCATAACAAACTAAGGCTAAGATATCTACAATCAGAACAAACAGTTTGCTATCAATTAAACGAAAAAAACAATCAGAGGTGTTTTTATAAATTGACACGGAAGAGTTGCCAACCAAAAATGACAAATTTCTGGTTTTTTTTACCAAATATGGTGCAACCCATCTTCTTTTGACTCTCGAACATTAGGCTTTTTCAAATGTACCAAAATAACCGAAAAAAAAGAAAAAATATTCCTTTTCATCAACATGCTTTACACAAAGTGAACAAATCTACCACAAATACAATCTAGTATATTTTTTAAAACAAAAAATTTTTAAGACAAAAAAATATGAAGCAGTGAATTCATCACTACTCTTGACCCGTTGCTTTTACATTACCTGATTTTCTCATTTTTTATTCAATTCAATTTTCTAATTGCTTTTCTTATAGAAATCTTTTTTCATCTTTTTAAAGTTCACAAAAATAACACTTGTATATAAGAAAGATACGAAACAGTACTTTTAGCAACAAGAGCTTATAATTACTGATGGAATGCTAGGAAAGTTTCAGTGGACTATAGGCGCGTTAATCGCGCTACAGAAATACCGCTCTGGAGGTAGTACACTCGAACCAGTGCGAAAATGCATTGAGTGAAAAAGTGAGATCTGGAAAAGCATTTCTTACACAATATTTCCAAGCGTTTAGATGTTTCAATAGCTTTCCAAGAAATTTTATAAAATTATTTAGGAGTGTTGTTCGCTCCACCATTGCAAGCCCAAGACACTAAGTAGACAAATAAAGAAAAAATGACTCACGTCGGTGAGGTACTGCACAGAAACTCCATTCTGACCAACTTTTCTGTCATAGAAATGCATAACAATCTTCAAATGATGCCGAATAAATGTAGCTGCAACAATGTTGTTCGAAAAACCATCCAGATTTTATTAATTTAACGATCCACGACAGCCTGGTGCTCCACAAAGACAATCAATTTTATCTTCTTCAATTGGAAATTTATAATCATAAGTTATTTCGTCGCCTTTCTCGATCGGTAACTTGCTGTAGATAACAATTCTTTTTTCACCATCAACAACAACAACTTTTGCATAACAATTCGGTTGACATGAATGATTAATGAATCGAGCCAAATTTCCCATTTGTGTAGCATCAATTACCTGCAAAATTGTTGACAACAATATATAAATGTTAAGGGTGGATTTTCAGTCAAACACATAAAATGAACCTCGAGTATAGTTCTTGATTGATATAATACTAAGATTTCAAAGAGAGCTTACATTATCAGAATCAATACGGAACAAATAGCTGGAACCCATTCCACGTCTTTCGTAATGCTTCTCACGTTCATCTGCCACTGTAGGTCGTATTTTTTGTCCGATGTATTCAATGATCATTTCATCAGGGCCTATCGCTTCCATTGCATACAAGCCCCAACCATGAATTCGCGAGCGTGCAAATTTAACAAGTTTTTTGCGGAACTGAAAACTATATCTTTTTTTCAAAACGGTTAAAATTCACCAAAACTGCAGTAACTTCTTTTGTCATGTTTCCCAGATGAAGTGAATTAAAATCACCAGTCATGATTGCTTGCTCATGTGTGCATCTGGCTTAAAATTTCTGTGACAAAAACAGTACTACAGATAAGGTATGAAAATCAACACTTCGTGGATTTTGAAGCTAAAAATTATAGAAAAACAGGCTCATAAATAAAACTAGGAATATATTAAACATTAACCATTTAAAAGAATGAGACGAAAATTTTCGATTTATTTACATGCTATGATAAATATTGATGATTCAAATTCTAAACTCTAATAATCAATCTAAGAAATTTTTAAGAATGAAAATATTTCATCTGAGTCGAGCTTGTAAGATCAGATAAAGTACTTGTTACGTGTAATATTCTAAGCATTGTCAATAAAATTAACGACGCCCAAAATGTATACTATTTAATGTCTGCAATTTTATGGAACTCCGATAACTAAGATAAATGGCAAGTTTTAAGGATTAAGATTTAAAAAAATCAAAGCTCTGCTTGACACAATAAGGACTAAAAACAATTCGAATAATCAAAATCTGAACTTTGTTAATTGAAAAATAATGCTTCTCAAAATGGCATCTCATTTACAAACGAAAAAATGTTGAATCACCTTAAGCTGATTGACTTTGAATATATCAGAAGAGGAATCACCCATTGTTGTTAACAAGCGTCGATTGGTATTACGAGCCTCTCGCGACGATTGCATCAATAATCGGTTTTTGTCTTCTTCCTATATGAATAATATGATGAAAATAGTATGAAAAATATTAATAAGCAATAAATAATGACAAATAATAATGAGCGATAAATAATACCAAATAACAATAAACAGTAAATAACAAATAATAGTATGACTTTTGGTTGAAACTACATGAAGTTTACTCAGTAAATTCTTGAAAACCAATCACACTAATCTTTTATTAGAAACGAAAGAGAAGTAAAGAAAAAAGCACCCAAAGATTTCTAAAAATCCTCAGTATCACTACAAACGCTTCCTTTTTCACGAATTATGTAATTAATACATTTCTTGAAATTTTAGAAGTTATAATTCATACAACTACTCACTTTTTCATTTATTTCATTCAGAAAAATATCTGGCCTTCGTAAAACACCTCTTTTTTCTTTGTGAGATAACTTATAGTAACCTTCTGTGCGAGCACATCCCGATAAATGAGGTATCACTCCTTCTAGCTGTAAGAAAAATATATTAAAATGTCGCAGAGTATAAAAAACTACAATCAGAACAAGTAAATATTAAAGAAAGAAATATATTCATTGAATTATTCTTTGCATATTTTACAACAAAACTTACTTCATGGTCATCGTAATAATAAATACGCTTCCCTTTTTTCTTCATCTTATTCTGAAAAAAAATTTCTAAATTAAGATGAAAATACACATACACAAAACTGTGCACCGCAATAATATATTGAAATAAAAGCAAATACTAGCTTCAACTTACCAACTGCCGGATTCTGGGTAATTCCTTCGGTGATACCCAATACAGTTTTTTATTCCATCGCGCGGCCTTACTTTTTTGCAACGCATGAAATGATTCTTCCAAAAAGTTAAGCTCTTCTCGATTTAACCCATCCTTGAGGATAAAGTACAAATTACAGTAAAAACGTAGATGAAAGACTATGAACATATGTTAAGGAATAGGAAACAAAAATCCAGGAAATATATTTGAAAAAACAGTAATTTCTATAAAAAAGCTGACTTTTTCAAACTTGAACAAGACTTGCTCTTCTTCATCAGTAGTTCGCTTTTCCCAATGTTGGGAAAGTTCCCATTTTCTTCCGCATACAAGTTGCTTTGACAATGGAACTGAAAAACGAGGAATATTTGGATGAATCATTTTGAAGAAATTACACTATCCCGAAAAATTTTAGGTATTTGTTTTATACAGACCGATAATAAAATATTAGTAACCATATCAGATTCAACATGAAAATCCTTACGTCTTTTAATATTTTTCGCTTCAAGCCACTTGAAAGATTTTTCATCCTTATTCGCTAATATATTGTTCTCCATTTTTGCTTTTAGTTGTTCCCACGTTTCTACTTGAAGATAACAATGGTCGTTATAGTATCCATCTATATTTGCAATATTCGATAGCTAAATAAAGCATTTATAATGTACATCAGTAATTCATAAAAGTTTTAACATTATATGATTAACTGGTGAACATATTTCTGCACAGTACTCCTATAAGCTATGTACCTAATTCAAAGTATGACATAAGATTTAAATGGAAATAAAAATATCCATATTATTAAGAACGACAGCCTCATCTAAAAATCTATCGACTACAATAAAATTCATTTCAAAATTTAATGTAAACATATTCCACTAAGTTTGTAAAAGCATCAAGAAAATAATTAAAAATATACATCTGTTATATCGCCACTTCTCAAATCTGAATCGATAGTGATTTGATTTTTTTTGATTAATTGTGAAGCTGCTCTTCTAAAATATGATATGGGATATTGACCTGAACAATTATTCCACTCGTCTGAATAAAAATACACAATTAAGATATAGTCTCGAGTACCTGATATTTTCAAAAAAGAGCTGTAAAAATGCAAACTCTAACTTTGTTTCATTCCACATGATACTTCCTTCGTCTCTAGTTTTGAACGATAAAATTGAATCTTTTCCATTTCCTTGAAATTAATGCATAAGAAAGACATATTGCATGTTAAGTATCGGTAAGTTGTTACATTTATACTTTTCTTATCCACAATACCCTAAGTCACATCTAATTTCAATATCCACTAAAAATTCACAGCTACGGCAAAAAAACTCAGAGAGGTACAAACGTCAAATATAGCACTTATTTAACTATTTTTCAGATTGTTCTTGGAAAAATTTAGAGTTTCTTAACACACCAGAAAATGGTTCTTCATTACTATCTACTTCAATATTCTCGAGTCTTCGGTCCTGTGTTTTTTCGTCCTCTTCATATTCTTCTTCCTCATCATCACTCTCTGACGCAGAAGAAATTGTGCTGGTCAAATTGTCATCAGGTTCTTTTTTTGGAAACACAGGACTTGAATATTCCAATGACCCATTTTCACTGCTGCTCCTGAAATGTATACTCGGCACTATATATATATATATATATAT